GCCTTGCAGGGCGCGGAGGTGCTCGGGGGCCTTCGAGCTTCAGTCCCGTTCCTTGAAAGTCAAGACTGGGTGGCTGCATCAGTTTCGACAGACTTATAGGCAGGCGCGCTTTCAATCGCAAGCTGTTAATCACGGGGCCCTTTCCAGGATATCATTGTGGTGCTGAGGTCCACGGGATCTCGGACCGCGAGTGGGGGTCCAGATCCCTCGCGGCCGCTCTGGCTTTGGTTAAGGATCTTACTTTTTATGGGGCCGTCCCACTCGGAGTTCGGTCTGCTAAAGACATCTGGGCTCATTTGCTTTCTCCTGGGCCGAGTTGCGCGAAGCTTGGGGGGCGGTTTTCTGGGGCCCTGTTGCCGCTTGGCAGCGGGTTTCGGGGCCCACTTAGGCGCTCAAGCTTAGTCTCCCACGTACAGGATGGAACATGCCATCAGTCACCGCGGTCGCGTATCAGCGCGGAGTCGAGTGCCCGCTGGCCTTCGTTTCCCCAGCTCTTTTGCCCCTTGCTGCTCTGCGCGTCCATGGGGCCAGATCAGCGGCCAATATCTTACATTGCCCTGGGCAGCCCGCTCGCGCCTGCCACGACCAAGTATGCGCCATGCTACAGAAGCGCAGATTCACGCCGTGCCACGCAGAGCGCATCAGATCGGTATGCTGCGACGCGGTGTGGACCAGGTCGCGAGCTCGAGCGTCAGGCTGTCAGTTGCCAGATTGCGTCGGCCCTTTGCTGGGCGGCCGACGGCGCGATGCTGCGCCGTCTGTGTCTCTTCACTGCCGTGGAACAGGAAAGAGTTGTATGCTGGGGTGAGAACTATAAGCTGAAGCCTCCAGAGGACCTCGCGGTGGACCTGGCAGTGGATTAACTACCGACTGGCAGGATGACCCCCAGTGCTACCTCACTGACCTCCACGGGAACAAGTTCGTGGTTTGTTCTTGTTCTCGTACTAGGGAGGTCTCTCCAGAGCTCTCCAGGGCAGGGTGGTCTGTGGGCCCAGTGGGTGATTGGGGGGGCCACCGTACTATGATATTTGGGCCCTTGCGCGGGCATTTCCCCCAGACGCCCCGGTCCGCCGAGTTCGCGGCCTACTGTTCTGCGGCGCAATGTAGGGTTGAAAGGCCCCCGACCAATTCTGCTCGTTTAAATGTCGCTCTTCAGGCCCATAAGCCCTTCGCGACCCAACTGTCCTATCGTCGCCCCCATGCTGGGTCAGGCGCGCGGGGACATCCTCAAAATCAAAGGTCATCAGAGGGAGAGGCCCGATTCAACTGACCAAGAGAAGTTCCGACAGCTAGGTGATAGTCTGGCCGGTGCTGCCGCTCGCCGCGCTGTGCTCCGTCGCCCCCGGCCGTCAAGCGCTGAAAGAAACAGTGTTTCACAGCGGCAGCTTGTAGCCAGACTCGCGCAAGTTGGCGGTTGAGGCCATGCCGCTTTTTCCCTGGCTCACCTTGCCGATGTTCCATGGCTGAAGCCGCCGCCAGCCCCCACGAAACCCCCGTGGGCCCCGTCGCGATTGGCGCTGGGCGTGTCTGTTTGTGCTCTGTCGGGAGCCTGGATCAGTACAGTAATGTATTTCGCCCCAGGCAGCATTCTTTTCCTCGACGGAGGCGGGTGCTGACGTGTCTGGGGGAGGCGAGGAAGCGATGAAACAAAGGCGCGATGGAGGGTCGGCGCCGGCGCCGCTGCGAGAGGGCAGCCGGGCAGAAGAGTCTGAGGGATGGTCGAGGCTTTGTTATTTTCTTATTCTTGGTGTACTCGTTTTGTGCTCTTTCCATCGTTTTTTTTGTGCGGTGTGCACCAAAGGGTGCCTTATTCGGAGGGCACCAACTATACACCAACACCGATCCTGGCCCAGGATCACCCTGGGCCCAGGATCGGTGTATATGCCTTCTTGCGCAAGGCAGGAGGGCGTATACACCGATCCTGGGCCCAGGGTGATCCTGGCCAGGATCGGTGTTGGTGTATAGTTGGTGCCGTCCTACTTATGGCTGTTTTGGTATACTCTTGTGTTTTTTCGATCGGACGCCAAAGATGGCCGTCGTCAGGGTGGCTTCGCCTGGTGGCGCGCCGGACGGCTCCTCCGCTCGCCCGGGGGCCGCGCCCCGGCGGGTCGTCGCCCCCCGTCTCTCAGCGCCTGGTGTTTGCTCCTTCGATACCCTGTCGTCTGCCGCGTTTTTTGTTTTTTTTTTGGTTGTTTGGTTGTTGTTGTTGTTGTTGTTGTTGTTGTTGTTGTTGTTGTTGTTGTTGTTGTTGTTGTTGTTGTTGATGTTGAACATTATTAATTCTAAAGAATAATTATTGTTGGGACCCCTGGTGCACGGCCCCCCTGCGCCGCCTAGGCCGCAGCTACATTTTCATCATTTTCGTGAGGAAGCCTCAGGTAATACGATGTCAAGATCCGGTTGTTTTGTTGTAATCCGTTTTCCCTTGCAAAAAACACTATAAAATGACATTTCTTGTTCTAATATAATCAAATTTCAAGAATCCCTTGCAAAAAATAAGGTAAAGTGGACATTCGCGCGCGCAAGACGAAATCCTTCCAAAACTTAGTGTTCGGAGCGATTTTAACATAAAAACATCAAAAAACCAATGGTTTTTCAACAAACAAATGTCAAAATCTCATCCCGCGCGCTCTTGCGGATTCGTAGGAAACCCAACACTTTTTAAACATTTCTGTCAAACGGGCTTTTGCGAGCAACTTTTTCGAACTTCTGCGACAACGGTTGCGCACCTGCCAGGGCCATCATCCCTGTCAAATAATACCATGCGGGACACATTCGTTTTTTCTTCGCGCGCGCACGCCGAAATCTCCAAAAACCATTGGGTTTTTAAGAATTTTAGCACCGCGCATCATAAAATCACATGCATCATATGCAACAGATGTTCTGTGGAAGGCTTAACAACTTCTGTGGGTTAACAAGGCTTAACAACTTCTGTGGGTGTACGAACGTAGGCTTAACAACTTCTGTGGGTGTGTACTCCACGCCAGTGTAGTAGCCACGGTCGTCCGCAGGCCACGAAGTGAAGTGTCCGAACGTCATAGGGCGGGAAGCTGGGTGTGGGTGGTGGCGAAGAGTCGTGTGGATATTTGGTAGAGCTTGCACTGCCCCCCCACAAAGTGGGGGTATTGGCTGGCGTCGCATGAAAACCCTGGCACTGGTGAGAACACTGAGCGTTCGGGTAAAGTGATTGTTGTTGTTGTTGTTGTTGTTGTTGTTGTTGTTGTTGTTTGTTGTTGTTTTTTTTTTTTTTTTTTTTTTTGGGGGGGGGGGGGGGGGGGGGGGGTTTTTTTTTTTTTTTTTTTTTTTTTTTTTTTTTTTTTGAATAAAACAGGCACAGATTAAGGGACCCTTGCGACCCCCCTACTCTGGTAGTTGGCAGGCGTCGCGCAGTGTCTCGCGCCCACTTGGTGGTTTCTGTCGCGGGTCCCCGTTGATCAATGGACTCGCGGGTGTGAGCCTGCGTGAGAACGGGCACAAGCCACTTGTCTCTTTCAGTGCAATGATGAAAGCCTCCTCGTCATGCGTTTCAGTTGTAGGTGTGACGCCACTGGGGGGCAGGTCTGCAACCTCAGGAGTGTGTGTGTGTGTGTGGGACCGCCCAAGGAGGACGTTCCCAGAGATCGCCGCAGGCTCTACGCGTGGTCCAGGCGTCTGAAAGGGAAAGCGTCCCGAGTCGACCGCAATTTGGACTCATGTGACTGTGGCTCGTCGAGGGTCAGGACGGCTTTTCTTTCCTTTCCCATTTTCACTGGGCGGACGCGGCATTCCATATTCGAGAGGTGCCCCCTCCACAGTCGCCTCGCTTGCTGCGTCTGTAAAGGGTGGGCGTGGGGGACTGTACCTAACGGGAGGTGCCCCCGCCACCGCTCCCGTCTGCCTTGCGGTTGCCCGCTCGGACCAGAGCACCAGGCAGTCCGTGAGGCTGGTGGCAGAGTCTTTCCGCGGTGGGGAGGACGTGGGTCCTCTCGTCGCGGCGCCTCGGCCCCCTGGCGAGGACGTCTCGGACTGACGTCTTGAGGGGTAAGCCTTGCCTGCGGCCGCAGTGGCTTCGGCTGGGCTTCACTTTCCTATGCTGCGCCCTCTTTTTGTCGAGGCCCCACCACGCTCCTGCGTGCTGGGGCCCGCTGTGCTGCCTCCAGGGGCTTGGCCTCTGCTTGCCTTCCCTGGAGTTGCGGCACACTTTTCGCCCCTCACGACAGTATTATCAACTGTGCGCCAGGGCTGGCCGTGCAGAGTGACGTGCGTGGTTGAGTGCAGAAATTCCTCCTTCCCTCCCTCCCTCCTCCCTCCCCCTTCCTCCCTCCTCCCTCCTTCGGGGCTTCGCAGAGGGGGGGCATCCCAAGGTAGGGTGAGTGAACGAATCTGTCCTGAAGCCGATATGCCCTTCGTTCAGGCAGTGGCTGCCCATCGCGATTTGTCCGTCGTTGGCGGCGCGCAGAGGGGTGGCGCGAGAGGTGGCGGGCTTCTACGAAGGCGGAAAAACGGGGCTTCTTCGAAAGCAGGGGCCTTCTTGAGAAACGCCCGCGTGCTTTTGAGGAAGGCTTCACAGAGGCCGAAGCCGTTTCCGAGCAGCCCGCTGCCTTCTCAGAAGCTCCCCCGCCTCATTGGAAGGCCGCCTCCCTCGGGCCTCCCCGGTGTGCGCGCTGCCAGCTCTACCGCCCCCTCTGGCCCTGCCCCACGGCCTCGGCCTCCAACGCCATGCCCTGACGGGCACGGGCGGGCTCCCCAGAGGAGCTCGCAGGACTCCAGCGTTCTCTCCGCTTCGCCCTCCTGTCCGAGGCCCAAAAACCATCACGTCACTAATTTTGGGCCCCAGGGCCCACTGAGGCCCCAGGGGCCCCAGATTAGTGAAGTGATGTTTTTTCCCACGTGAGGACCCCGAAATTCATCACTCCACTAAACCGAACCCAGGACGAAAGTCAGGGGCCGAATTGCTGCTGTGATGCAACATAGGTCTCCTATCCTGGCCCTGCCCGCTCTCGACGAGCACCCGGCTCCAGGTTCACGTGGCGGTGCTGCTGGTGTACGGGCGGCTGAACCAGATGCTGGGCCGCGGCGCGCTGCCGGTGCCGAGCACGCGGCAGGTGAAGGCGATGCTGGCCGAGGCCCTGACTGTGCGCGTGAGCGAGGGGGCAGCACAGCCCCGATTGGGGAGAGGATGAGAGTGGGGGAGGGGTGGAGGGGGTGGTGTGCGAGCGCATGGGCGATCTCGTCTGCGGCGGGGCCGGCCTGGCCGAATCCCAACCCGGAACGGGTCGGCGGAGGAGCTTACAGGGAACCCAGCTGCTAGGGTAGCGCACGGTCGAAAAGGGCCATGGGACGGAAGAAGGAAGGAAGGACGGCGAGGATCGAATTGCAGCGGCCGCGAACGAAGGGTCAAGCCCTCGTTGCTGGGCGACTGTCTGCGTCAGCGGGTGGGCAGCACAGCGGCGGGTGCGGCGAGAAGAGGCGTGCCAGCAGCGTCCAGCCACTGGGCCACTGGGCCACAGCATCTCGGCCTCACCCGCCCTGCTCGCCTAGGTGGGGATGGGCCCCGCGAAACCCGACCGATCAGGCATTTTTCCCCGCCCAGATGGGTACGTCGGCCAGTGGGGCCAGGCCCACGTCAGCGGAGGTGGGGATCGGTTAAGCTATGCTCAGGGTGAGGGAGGGGCCAGGAGGAGCAGAGAGGGAGGAGGGGGCGAATGAAAAGGAAGGAAGGAAGGATCGGAGAGGAGAGGAGAGCGGGGAGGGAGTGAGGGAGAGATGTGGAGAGGAGGGGATGAGGACAAGTGGGAAGGACGAGGACTTTCGAGGCATCGGGCGGTTTCTCATGTGTTCAGGGGGCGCCAGGGGGGGGCACGGGAGGGAAGCAAGGAGGGGGAGAGAGGAAGGGATGTGGGCGGAGGGGGGCGTCCCGCCGGTGTCCCGTCGGTGTCCCGTCGGTGTCCCGATCATGATGTTGATGATGATGATGATGATGATGATGATGATGATGATGATGATGATGATGATGATGATGATGATGATGATGATGATGATGATGATGATGATGATGATGATGATGATGTTGATGATGGCGATGATGATGATGTTGGTGTTGTTGATGATGATCGATGTGAGATCGATAGTGAGATCGATAGTGAGACCGAATGTGAGATCGATTGTGAGATCGATAGTGAGATCGATTGTGAGATCGATAGTGAGATCGATAGTGAGACCGAATGTGAGACCGAATGTGAGATCGACTGTGAGATCGATTGTGAGATCGTTAGTGAGATCGACAGTGAGACCGAATGTGAGACCGAATGTGAGATCGATTGTGAGATCTATTGTGAGATCGATTGTGAGATCGATCGTGAGATCGATTGTGAGATCGATAGTGAGATCGATAGTGAGACCGAATGTGAGATTGATTGTGAGATCGACTGTGAGATCGATTGTGAGATCGATAGTGAGATCGACGGTGAGACCGAATGTGAGACCTAATGTGAGATCGATTGTGAGATTGATTGTGAGATCGACTGTGAGATCGATTGTGAGACCGATAGTGTGATCGATTGTGAGATCGATAGTGAGATCGATAGTGAGAGCGAATGTGAGACCGAATGTGAGATCGACTGTGAGATCGATTGTGAGATCGATAGTGAGATCGACAGTGAGACCGAATGTGAGACCGAATGTGAGATCAATTGTGAGATCGATTGTGAGATCGATTGTGAGATCGATAGTGAGATCGATAGCGAGATCGATAGTGATATCGATAATGAGATCGAATGTGAGATCGATAGCGAGATCGATTGAGTGAGACGTTGGTCCCCCCTCCCCCCTCACCTCCTTATCACCCGCAGGGTGGTCGTATAGGTATATATATACATATATATATATATATATATATATGTATATTGTGGCAGTGATATCGAAAAAACAGGCTCCGCATCGCAGCGCTGCGGAGCCAAGGTCAGGATCTATCAGCGAAGGCGGGCAGCAGCGCATCGTTGGCAGCAAGGCAGCCTCCAGCGGGATGGGTACTTTCAAGCGTGTGGATGCGCGTCCAGGTACTTCGGTTTCTCGGTCGACGCTGCGGACCTGGGTGGGTCCTGAGGGGGTGTAGACTGCGCGGCGGGAGAAACCCACGGCGGGCACTGCCTGCCGAGCGGGGCTCCGATGGGTCGAATCACTGGAGGGAAGCCCAGAGCTCACGTTCAACCGTTACAGGTTGGGTTGTTCTTTCCAAGGGTGGTGTAGCTTCGTCGAGCGGGATGGGTATTTCCAGCGGTGCAGGTGGGGCGGCAATTTCCAGGAATACTTCAGCTGCGTCCGCTGGGATGGTACTTGCAAGGGTGCTGCGGCCAGTTCTGGGGCGCGGCTGGTTGCTGATGCTTGCGCCGTCGGCTTGTGGCCGGGCGGGGGTAGAGCAGCGTGGAGCTCTCCGACGCGTGCTGGTGGCGATGGTGACAGCCGTGAGGGAGATGACGGAGATGATGCTCGGGCCGGCCTGCCCGAGAGTTCGGTGGAGGAGCTCGAAATCGTCGCGGCCAATGCGAACCGTTGGGCGACAGGCAGGTGCGACCAAAGTGTATTTTGCCTTGTCGTTGAAAGGGATGGTTGGCCTGCGCGCGGCAAGCAATATGAGAGCACCCCCGCCGCCCCTGTGAAAAACAGAGGCAAAGTGGTCGTGGGGCGCCCACGCGTGCTCCAGATTCGGAGGCAACCTGTTTTGTGCATTCCCCAGCCATCCTGTGGTGCTGGGCTCTCGCCGGCACCCTCCTTTCAATCGTCGCGGCAGCGAGAAGACCCTCCCGCGTGAAGCCGCAGAGCCTGCGCGCAAGTGGTCGGTGAAAGGCGGGCTGTGCGCTGCGCGCAGGGCTATGCGCTGCGGTGGCAGGGGCGGGGCCGCTCTCGACAGGCTCCGGGGGATGCGCACAATTCTATCGGGGCCGCCGGCGTTCGGCTCGACCCAGCGGGCCAGAACCCAGGGAGTTCGAGGAGGAGGAGGAGGAGGAGGAGGAGGAGGAGGAGGAGGAGGAGGAGGAGGAGGAGGACTGTCCGTGCATCGTGGTCAGGCCATCCGTGCCATCGCAGGTCTCGGATTCCCGCTGTATGTGCTATCGGTGTGCATGCAGGACCGCGTCGATGTCGTCGGGGCGAAGGCAGAGTAGCTGGAGGCGCTGATGTCGCGGGGGGGGAGGGCTGCGTTGGCCGTGGATCATCGTGCCGGACTGGGGCGCCGAGCCGTCGGACATCAAGTTGTGGGCCAGGCAGGCCTGCGCTGTGGTGGTCAGGCTGTGAGCCCCGACGCGCGGCAAGAAGGATTGCGACTTCGCCGTCATGTGCGAGATGCTGCCCAGCTGGGTTGATCGCGTGGCGGTTCACGGCGGTGGGCCCGTCGCTACCCGCGCCGCCGTCGGCGTGCACCTCGGAGGCTTGGGCAGCAGGGCCGCGATCGCCAGTTCCCGCTCCTGCTCAGGCCGCCCTCGCAGCCAGCTCCCGAGCTCTTGGGGGAGAAGGACTGGAGGGGGCGGATCGAGGGTCAGCCAAAGGATGTTGGGTCGAGCAGGCGTCCAAGTTCCAATTCGCCATGGTCGAGGACTACCAGGCCAGGCGCCACGGCCTCTACCGGCATAGCTGATGGGCTTAAGGTCGAGAAGGTTTCGCTGGAGTTGGAGTGGTCCTCGAACGTCGAGGCCACCTCGGCCCCTCCCGCTGCGCGCGGGCAGGGTTCGCGGCGGCGCGCGGTATGGCGTCTCAGCTTCGTTGCCGCATCCAGGGCAGCAAGTGAACCATGTATTGCAGGCTCGAGAGGCAGAGAGGCAGATCAGGATCGCGAGGGGCTGTCGCCTTCCCAGTAGCCCGCGGCCGCAGGAGTGGCGTGCTCGCGGCGTGGGATGTCACGTCCGTCGCCCGCGCGTTCTGGAGGCTGCCCGTCCGCGCTTGCCGAGATCTCCCCGCTCGCGCGTCCCATGGAGTCGAGAAGCTGCCGCGGGCCGATCACGAGGGGCGGAGTTCCGAATGGCGTGGGCGGGCCCGGGAGGCGGCCTCGCTGCCGGCGGGGCCGCGCGGCCTCCGAGCTCATCGAAGGCGGCGGGGTCGGGCCCGCGGCGCCGGGGGGCCACGGCGACTCCGAGGACGTCGGCTGCGGCAGGGGGCGAGGCCAGGAGAGATCGGATGGCAGAATGGGAGGCCCTGTGGATCCACCCTGAAAGGCTGCAGGGCCTGGTTGGCCTGCAGTACCGGGGCAGGGTGCTAGGGGCCTCCCCCGCCGATCACTTCGGAGGAGCTCGACCAGGTTTTGGCGTCTTTCGGCGAAGGTGCTGGTTTAGGGTGGGGCCGCCTCCGCCCTAGGCAGCCTCGCTGGGTGCGCCCCTTAGATGATGCTGGTGGCGTTCCTGCCGACCCCCTTCACCCGGGGGCGTCCGCCCTTGGCATCCTGGCCAGCGTCTGAACTAGAATGGTCGAAGCCGAGGCAGCCCATCGCGTGGCAGGATGGGAAAAGGAGACCAGGTCGTCCTCCCGCTGGGGCGCGGCTGGGCGCGCCTGTGAGAGGGCGGGCATGGTGCGCGACGTCGTGGCGGCGCGCGCGAGAAAGCTAATTAGGCCTCGCTGCGAGCATATCGGCTGTGGACCTCTCCCAGTATCACGGGCTTCTCAGCCGCTGCATGCTGAAGAGGGGGGGGCTCGTGGGGCCAGGGCGTCGGGCCAGTGATCGAGCCCAGCGGCGCGACGGCGGCTGGGTGCTCGTGCGCGGCGAGAGCGGCCGAGCTTCTCGCGTTCGCCATCCTCGGGCGGGTGGCCAGCAAGTTCACCGTCGTGCGTGCCGGGGCCCGTTGGACGACTGCCTTCTCCATGCCGTCGGCTCTAACCGCTTGGTCACCCAGCGGCTGGCGGGGGCGGCCGACGTCCTTGGTCGAGGGGTTGCGGGCGAGGCGCCTCGAGATCAACTGGGGCAAGACGGGCTTGATCGCCGCGAGCGCCGACCTCGCTGCTGTCCTCGGCGAGGGCGCCGGAAGGGCCTCGGGCAGAAGCGTCGCGCGGGGGGGACGGCAGCGGCGGCAGCCGCCGCAGGGTGTCCGAGCAGAAAACGAGAGGCTGTCCGCAGCCAGTCGTGCTGCTTCGAGGATCGAGCTGCCGTGGTCGGCAGGGGCCAGGGCCTGCCATTTGCACCCGTGGTTCGTCGTGCGCCGCGGCGGTGTGGGGCTCGTCCAGCACGGGCATCGCTGATGGTAAGGTGAGCGGGCTCGGGGTGCGCGCGCTGCGTTCGGACCGCAGCCTGGCGCCAGGAGCCCCCGTGGGCCCTCGTGGTGAGGGCCATGCCAGGGGCGAAGTTCTGTGGCCCCCTGGTGGCGCGCAGCGTGGAGGCTGCCAGAGCGTGGGCGACGGCGGTGAGGAGCCCACCCAGCCCGACCACTCGAGCAAGGACCGCGCCGCGAGGTTTCGGGGAGTTAATGGTCCATCATCGAGCGGGAGGTGTGGCTCTCAACAGTTTTGCGAGGACAGGGGTCACAAGTCCGCCCCTCATGGTCGGATTACATGAGATAGTTGTTTTTTCCCCTGCGGGTCTCACCACCGACCGTGGAGTAATCAGGTAACATTTGTGGATGTTAAAAAAGTCCTGCTCCTCCTCTTCCTCCTCCTCCTCCTCCTCTTTCCTCCGCCTCTCCCACCTCCTCCTCCTCCTCCTCCTCCTCCTCCTCCTCCTCCTCCTCCTCCTCCCGCCAACGCAGGCCGACCGCGACGGTGATGCGCTCTTGGACCTGAACGAATTTAGGGAGCTGTTCGCCCGCAGGCTCCTCTTCCCCCGAGGAAGGGGGGAAGGGAGGTCGGGAGGGAATGGGGTTAGGGACAGGGGAGGAGGCGGATAAAGGAGGGATGTGGGAGAGGGGAGGGAGGCAGAAGGAAGGGGGAGTGGATGGGCGAGTGGAGGGAGGGTGTGGGGAGGAGAGAAACGTCCCCCTCAAACTGCCTCCCGACGGGCCTCGGCTGGCACAAAAATTGCCAGAGGCGGTTCCACAACATCTTCAACGATCAGCTCCAGGACGGCTCAACAGAGCGCCAAAGGGGGTCCGACGACGGTTGCAAGTGACCCCCTCGGGAGACCCACGGGGTTCATGACGGCGCTATGGGGCCCCAAGGGGCCCCGAACGAGCTCTCGACGCCCGCGAAAGTCAGCAAGCAACGAGCTATTGCCTCTTGGGACCTCCTTCTCCTCCAACTCCCTCGCCTCCTCTTCTGCTTCCACGTCCTCCTCGGCCACGGGCTTCGAGAGGAAGATGGGAATGAAGTGAGCGAGAGGAGGCCTCGCACGCGCGCTCAAACACAGCCTCGCTGAGGGCGTTCTTGATCTGGGGCGCGTGGGGGTGGGGGCCCTCGCGGGACCTCTTCGGGCTCCTGTGGATCTGCGTGTGCCATTCCCTCTGTCGTCTGTCCCCCGCACGCAGCGATCTCAAATCTTCTTGCGCCTCTCCGTCGGAGACGCGCGTGGGAATCACCAGGAGGACACGTAGGAGAGGGACCAGGGATGCTGATGGTGCGGATGATGACGGTGCTGCTGCTGATGATGATGGCGGCGCTGGTCGTGGTGGTGGTGGTGATGATGTTTATCATGCGGATGAAGATGATGATGAGGGGGAGTAGGACGAGGATGAGGTGGGCGATACTATGATTATGATGGTGATGGTGATGGTGGTGGTGGTGGTGATGATGATGGTGACGATGATGAAGATGATGCTGCTGATGATGATGATGCTGATGACGATGCTGCTGATGATGATGACGATGCTGATGATGACGATGCGGATGATGATGATTATGATGATGATGATGATGATGATGATGATGATGATGATGATGATGCTGACGTGGATTATTATGATGCTGCTGCTGATGATGCTGATGATGAAAGCCAGGATGCTGCTGGTGGTGATCATGTTGATGGTTGTGATTTTGCTAGCGATGATGTTGTTGCTGCTGATGACGACGATGACGACGATGATGACTTTGATGATGCTGGTGGACATTGCGCTGATGTTGATGATGATGATGATGCTTCTGATGATGCTGATGATGCTGATGACGATGACGATGGCGAGGCTGATGATGCTGATGAGCTGATGGTGATGTTTACGATGCTGACGACGATGATGACGATGATGGTGATGGTGATGGCGATGGTGATGATGCTGGTACTGATGCTAACGACGGTGATGATCACTGATGATGCTGAAGATGAGGATGATGATGCTGATGGTGATGCTTGTGATGATGCTGCTGATCATGGTGATGATAACGATGCGGATGATGCCGATGCTGATGATGCTGTTGTTGTTGATGATGCTGATATTGATGATTATGATGCTGATGATGATGCTGAGGCTGATGATGATGATGATGATGATGATGTTGATAACGGTGAGGATGATGCTGGCGGTGATGATGCTGATGATGGTGATGATGCTAACGATGCTGTTGCTGCTGATGACGACGATGATGACGATGCTGATTTTGATGATGATGGTGGGGATTACGCTGAGGTTGATGATGTTGGTGATGCTGGAGTTTATGATGATGCTGCTGATGATGATGCTGATGCTGCTGGCAACGGTGATCACGACAACGATGATGATGCTGATGGTGATGATGATGCCGATTATGATGCTGCTGATGATGCTGATGATGATGACGATGGCGAGGCTGATGATGCAGATGAGCTGATGATGGTGTTGACGATGCTGACGACGATGATGACGATGGTGCTGATGGTGATGGTGATGATGCTGATACTGATGCTGACGACGATGCTGACGACGGTGATGATGACGATGATGATGCTGATGATGACGACGAGGATGATGATGATGATGATGATGATGATGATGATGATGATGATGCTGATGCTGATGCTGATGCTGATGCTGATGACGATGATGACGACGACGACGACGACGATGATGATGATGATGATGATGATGATGATGATGATGATGATGATGATGATGGTGGTGGTGATGATGATGATGCTGATGATGATGATGATGATGATGATGATGATGATGATGACGGCAGGATAATTATCCTCTGGCGCGGAACGGTCGTTACCCAAGCCCCCCCCCTTTCTCTCAGGTAACGGTAACGATCGAACGTGGTGGTGGTGGGGGGGGGGCAGGACCCACCACCCCACATGCTGGTGCTCGCGCGCAAATGATGATGGCGATCGCAGCGCACCCCCGCCTCGACGTGCTCCACCCCGCCCACCCACGCGTTACTGCGCCACAGAGAAATCTACACAGACAACTTCCACAGGGTGTCGGTGTATGAATCACCACTGAGAGCCAGCGACTTTATACACCGTCCCCTTCCTGAAGGCACATGCAAAAGCTCGTCGGAGGTTGCCTGTGTATATATTTTCGTGGCGCAGCTACCGTTCCTCGCGGCCCCACTCCGTCCAGGCGGTACTGGAAACAATGAAGCAAAAACATTCTCACGGGGTCCTCCGCTCGCCTCAGGGGGGCCTTCCTCGCGCAGCCTGCAGCGGCCCCAGAGGGCGGCAGCCTGCGGAGGTCCCCAGCCAGGGGCAAGGTCAAGGGGATAGGCTCAGGGGCTCAGGGGGAACGCATCGACGCATCGACCCCCAACCGCCAGTTCGTCGCCGAGAGGGTCCCGATCTGCCACGCTGCTTAGGGCTTTGTGGATTTGCCATCGGGGGCTCATCGCCGATCCATCGGCGATGAATCGCCCCTCGGGGAGCAAGGAGGGAGGAGGAGGAGAAGGCTGACCGGCTCTGCGGGCGTGCGTGAGCACATTCGGGCCGTAGCAGGAGAGGAGGTGAGAGGGGGGAGGAGGCTCCAGCCGTCGTGGCTCCCGGGACGAAGCGCTGCACTTCGACGCCGAGCCTGCACTCTCTGATCCCATTAGGCGCCAGGCGCCCTGGCGCACCGGGGTTCCGAGATGGCGGCGCTGCATAGGCTGGCGGTTGCGACCGCCCTGATGCTGATGAGGTTGGCGGGCGGGCTCGGCGCTCGGCTGGCCCGGCCGCCGTCGCCAGCAAGCGGGCGCGGCGCGCAGCGAGCCAGCGGCCTCCGCAGCGATGATCTCGCTGCTGCTGGCAAGAAGGCGAACGAGGGGTGCGACTTCGACACGCGGTATTTCGAGCACGCGGGAGGCGGCGCTGGCAGGCTCTCAGCAGGGTTCGAGTTCGATGGCCCCGAGAGGAAGGGGCCCGACTCTGAAGAGAGGTCACGCGTCAAAGCAGGGGAGCAACTGATACCTCTCCCATGGAGCAGCGCCACTCGAGAACGGAGCCATCATTTACCCAGTGACCCGAAAGACAGATCTGAAGATGTTTGGGGACAGCTTGCCAAGACTTCGCTATTTTATATTATTATGTTGGGTGTATGGCGTTTGCGTGTTCATCCCCACCGAAGCTTTCTGCGAGTATGACCATCCTAGCTTTGGAAGTTCCCCCTTCCGCGATGCTTTATGTCACGACATATACAGCTTTGACGTTGACACTTCCGATGCCAATTTCCCAAACATATCGCCGACGTCGACGCTTGGGAAGGTAAGACGAGCCGTTGTGCAAAAACTGTGGGAACAAGCTACAATCACATTAACCACTTCAATTCTTCACTAAGGCGATGTGCGAGTACTCGGCCTTAGATGAGCACATGTGAGATCTGCGCATACATGCCGACTTTCACTTCCGAGCTGGTGCCGATGGAATTTTGTTCTAGGCAGATCCTTCCTGCATGATGGCGAAGAGCGGTTGGAAGTTTGTGTGGTAGACACGAAGAAAAGTCATGTACACGAGGTGCACAGACGGCCTGTCGGAATGGTTCTACGAGTGCAAGCAGGTGCAGGGCCTGGCACCACACGATCCTTTGCTCTGGAACGAGCTGGGAGAGTGGGTGAACTATGTGGGCGACGTGGGTATGAGGGATCTGTACTTCTTCAGGCCGGAGCCAGGCCGAAGGCTGTCGAGGGCGCCAAGCGAGGACGGGCGTGTCTACCTGAACTGGTGGTCGGATCAGACGTGCTAACTACGTCCTTCTCTTTGCCTTTTGCGAGAACCGCTCCGCGGTTGGCGACATCGGCTTCATTTGGGCTTCTGAGAAGTGGTGCCATAAGTGCTACTACGCTCGAGGTTTCAATCCTTTCACTGGTGAGATACACAAGTGAGGTACGCAATATGATCAGGGAACTGTATTTTCTTCATGTTGGTAGCCCACGTAGTGCCTGCACTGAGGGGCCCTTACGTGGCCTCCAGTTCAGGCCAGTCGTGTTCAAGGCCCAGGGCGGCATGTCCAAGGACGCGGACGCTCTTGAGCGTCTTGGAGCGATTGTTCGGCGACTCGGGGCCCCCTTGGCCCGTCTGGGCGCCCTCTCGGGCCCGAACAAGTCACGCGACAGACCGCGCCACGCCCCGCGCCACGCCCCTGGAGATTTGGGCCGAGGAGAGGGCCGGGAACAGGCCTCGGTGCGGCGGGAGAGATGCTCCATCGCATCGCCGTCGTCGTGGCGAGAGGGGGCGCCGCGAGCACAGAGCGCCAGAGGGGGCGACGGTGCGCGGGGCTCGGGCCTCGTGGGCATCGGCGGCCAGACTTATTGTGGGCTGCGGGCCACGGAGAGCCTTAGTCCCCAGCGCCTGCCTCTCCTCCCCTCCTCCCCTCCTTTGCTGGCAGCTTGCCCAGCGGAGGGGTCTTGACGTGTGATTTCTCACCGATATTTCTTAGGGAGGGCACCCTTAGAGGCCTGAATGCCGGCGCTGCTCTCTCGCCCGCCTGCCTTCCGGGTGGCGTCGCCGTCCCTCCTTCCGCTGTCCTGCGTCGCTCCTCTGCCTGCTCTCCCTCCTGCTCGTCCCTCGGCCTGTCGCCTGGGCTTCGCCCTCTCTCCTCCCCCTCGTCGCGGTCGCCTCCTGTCGCTCGCTCTCCTCCCTTCCCCGGCTCCGGGTTCGTCCTGGTCCCTGGGTGTCGTTCCCTTCTCTGCCCCTTGCTGCTGCTGCTGTTGTTGTTTCACCTTCGTCGCCGCCACCTTTTTCCGCAGCGCAGGGCATGCTCTTGCCGGGCGCGCGGTTTTCAACGTTGGGTTTCGTTTCCTTTTTGTTTTGAACGCCATTTCGTTCTAAGCATCGCTGTGGCCCGTCCTCGAGTGACTAGGCAGGTAACCCGGGGTTCTCGCCCGGTGGGCGGGCGCTGGTCGCCTCGTGGCCGCACTGTGCGCTGGCTGCCGCGTCTGGGTTTCTGCCCGGTGCGCGCCTGTGGCCGCCCAGTGGCCGCCCCGCGCACGACGAGCGAGCACACCCCCATCCACAGGAGGGTCGGAGGGAGGAGCACCGGCTGTGGGCGTGGGTGCGGATTGTCGGGCCCCGTGGGAGGAGTCTGTTCGAAGGGGGAGCCCCACCCGACAACACGCACCCACAGCCCCCTCCATCTCCCCCGTGGGTCTAGGGGCATGGGTGCGTGCTGTTCGTTCGTCATTTTATGCACGCGTAGCTTGCACCGCATAGATTGCACCACACATATTGCACTACAGAGTGTGCACCTCACAGATTGCAGCACGCACACTCGTTACATAGATGACAACACATAGATTGCACCACGTAGGTTGCACCAGTGTATTGCGCCACATTGATTGCCCAACATCGTCTCAAACGGGGCCAGAGCTGATGGTGCCGCAGGATAGCGCCGCATCGCCGATGCATCATCGCTGATGCATCATCGCTGATGCATCATCGCCGATGCATCGGCGATGCGGCGCCAGCTGGAGCATGGTTTTCTCTACCCAGACGTCGCCGATACATCGACGATGCATTTGCGACGCGGCTCGATCCTTAGACCCCGTCCACTTCGGCCCCACTTGGAAGGTCTCCGTAGATATACCACATGGGGTCGTCCTAGAGGGGGAATGACTAATTCTAGACGCTTCGCGTAACCACACCAGCAAATCCAGAAACGATGCCCAGACGAGTTACCCAGATCAGATATGTGGAAGAGCATGTAGTGGAATAAAGGGCTGGATAAGACGTCGTACCCCATGAGGGGGAGGATGGAAGAGGAGTCGGAGGAGGAGGAGGTGGAGGATGATGACGATGATGAGGAGGAGGAGTAGGAGGAGGAGGGGGAATGATGGGGAATAGGTGGATGATGATGATGATGATGATGATGATGATGATGATGATGATGATGGTGGTGGTGGTGGTGGTGGTGGTGGTGATGACGATACTGTTGATGATGCTGATGCCGCTGCCGATGATGATGACGATGCTGATGATGATGATGATGTTGATGATGATGATGATGGTGATGATGACGAGGATGATAATGAGGATGAGGATGAGGATGATGATGATGCTGATGATGATGATGAGGAGAAGGAGGAGGAGGAGGAGTATGAGGAGGAAGAGGATGAGGAGGAGGACCAGTGTAAACCCAAAATTCACCAACGATGTTGGAGTAAACTCTCCCTCCAAACTCCCTCTTCATAGGCCCCTACAGGGGTTCACTTTTACTGAGGGAAGTGCCCTGCTGCGAGACAACCGTTTGAAGATCCTGATGCGTTCGAAGACACCAGTCTCGCGACTCTAACGCCACGAATCAAGCTGACTGTTGCGTCCTGACGATGCTGAATGGTGCCAGAACGCCATTCCTGAGACTTCAACGCCGCGAGTCAACCTAACTGTTGTGCCCTGACAGCCCTGAGTCGTTGCAGAACACCGTCTCTGGCACGTTAACCATTGAAATCAGTGAAACATTTGCAAATTATGAAGGCGAATGTGCGCGGCGCTGTGCCGGGAGACACATTTTGAACACGGCCCGCCCCCAACCTGTGAAATTTTTGAAAATTTTGCAGACGAATGTGCGCAGCGCTGCGGCGAGAGCCACATCTTGGAAACGGCCCGCCCTCTATTTGTGAAGCTCTGGCAAATTTCATGACGAATGTGCGCAGCGCTAATGCGAGAGTCACATTTTGAAAACGGCCCGCCTACAATCCGTGAAGATCTTGCAATTTTTTGCAACGTATGGTCGCGGCGCTAAGGCGAGAGCCAGATTTTGGAAGCGGCGTGCCTTCAGTCTGTGAAACTGTTGCTTATTTTTGAGTTGGTCTCAGGATCATAAATGATGAAAGAGTTTGAGGCGAAACGCCCGACCCGCCCTTTCGACCAGCCTCGGGGTGCGACAGGGAGGAGTTCGTTATAGGGAAAAGGAATGGAGGAGGAGGAATAGGAGGAGGAGGAGGAGGAGGAGGAGGAGGAGGAGGAGGAGGGCGAGCAGAACGGCCAGAAGCCTCTTGGATGCCTCTCGAAGTCTCTTCGGATTTCTTTCGAGAGCTTCTTGGAGTCCTCTTGGGGTATCTTGGGGGTCTCTTGGCAGTCCAGGGTGCCTCTTGGGGCGTCTTGGGTGCCTCTGGGGAGCCTCCGGGGTGCTCTTGGGGGTCTCTTGGGAGCCTCTTGGGGGGCCTCTTGGGTGCCTCTTGTTGGGGGCCTCTTGGGACCTCCTGGGCACCTCTCGGGCCTTCTTGGGGCACCCTTTGGAGCCTCGGGGGCCATCTGGGAGGAGATCGATCACAGGAGAGGCCGTACTACATTAGGGTCCCCCCCAGGAGGCCAAAATGTGGCCAAAACCGTAGCAAAGTCAATGATTCTATAGGCTTACGCCACATCCGCCGACCCCTTTTTTTCCGCGTGGTCGTTATCGCGGTTTCTTTGCAAGCTGCGGGAAAGATTCAGGTGGTGACCTTGAACTGTGTTCGGGTGCTGTTGGGCGGGCCGTCGCGCATGGGCGCCGTTTGGGGGGCCCTGTCGCGGGGGGTATCAGGCATGCACGGGGTGTTTGGGGGTTCTCTCCGAGGGTTCCGTGGTCGTCCTTGGGGCTTTTCGGGTGGTGGAGTCGGGGCAGTACGTTGCACGCCGGTGACATCTCAAGGGTGTCGGCGGATGCCGTCCGGGAGTACTGCGGAGTATCATGGTCGGAGTCTTTCGGGTAGTGTGTTGCCAGGTGACGAGGATGGTCCTGCTGACACGACGGCGACCATGACGACGATGGTGATGCTGCTGATGATGACGATGATGACGACGTGAATGGCAATTGCGACGACGATGAGGAAGATGATGGTGATGATGATGGTGGGGGTGATGATGATCATGGGGAGGATGAAGATGAGGGTGAGGATGAGGATGAGGATGACGAGGAAGAGAAAGAGGAGGAGGGAGGAGGAGGAGGAGGAGGAGGAAGAGCAGCAGGATGAGGAGGAGGAGGAGGGGGGAGGGAGGGGGAGGAGGAAGAGGAGGAGGAGGAGGAGGAGGAACGATGATGAGGTGGAGGAGGAGGAGGGGGAGTAGGGATGAGCAGGAGGCAAAGATTGACAGTATGGGTCACGGGCCCCCGCGATAGGTTTCGTCGCGTTGTCGGGGGCATTCGTTGCCTTGGCTGGACGCGGCTCGAGTGTGTCTTGTGATGTGAGGCGGTGATTGGCCCGTTCTCATTGATCAAGGCACAGGCGCGAAATTGTTGGTCAACCATTTCGTTCCTTCTGCGAGAGGGTTTCCCGTTCCGGTTTGGGCACGGTTCGTTTTGGGGGTCGGCGGTGCGGGGAGTGCTGTCTCACGTCTCGCATGCGGTGAGCGCGCTGATCTCTTTCAGCAAGCGGTGTCCCAGAGCAGATGGGATAAAGGGGGGGCAGGAGTCTGGCTTGGGCCACATTCATGACAGTGTCAGACACGAATGGAAAGCAATCGGAGAAGTGCTTGACGCGTCCCGTGCCCCAACCAGCTCATCTAGAAACGATGCCCATGCGAGTTGGTGCGATCAGGCAAGTGCGGGAGCAAGGAGGGGCAGTCGTTATCATTCGAAGCGGGAAGGTGATGGAGGAGGGAGAAAGGAGAGGGAAGGGGAAAAGGCACACAAAGAGGAGGTCGGCGAACAGAAAAGCCAGTGGTTTACTGGATGCATGGAGGTTCTTGGGACATCTCTTGGCGACTTCTCCGCGGGTCAGGTGACATTTTGAGCCGCTTGGCAGCTCGGGGGGGCCCTTTCGGGCCCCTTCGTTGCCTCTTGGTAGCTTCTTTGGTGCGTTTTCGGCGCTTCCCGAGGTTTTTTGCAATGTTTCTGGGGGCCGCGTTGGCCCTCTTGGGGCGACCATATGCGACATTGAGTGAAGAGGGGGAACTGCAACCAGGGCTGCCCGTCGATAGCCTACGCATCGCCTTCTAGGGGCGCTCTTGCGCCTGGTTTGGGGCCACCAGAGCCCCTCTTCGGTTCCCCCTGGGTGCTCTTCAGGCTATCTTGAGGCTTCGACGACCACTGGCAAGGGGGAGATGGTTACGCCAAAAGTGAGCGTGACGGCTGGCGGGCGGGCAGGGGTCAAACTATCCATTCCGCCTGCTGGCCGTCTCCCTCACTCCCACCCGCCATCCTGTCTCAGAAGGTCAGCACAGTAGCATGTCTACGAACCGTTCCAGACGACGATGATGACGAGGACGCTCATGATGATGATGCGTATGACGGTGATGATGATGATGATGCTGATGATGCTGGCGATGATGGTGATCATGAGCAGGACGATGAGGATGGATGAAGTGGGGAGACGATGACGAGGAGTTCGCGGGTGATGGTGATGATGATGATGCTGATGACGGCGGCGGTGGTGATAACGGTGATGATGATCACGACGATGATCATGATGATGAGGAGGTGAATGGGGGAGGAGTCACAAGATGATGGATCAGAGACGATCGATCAGTATGATGAGTAGGTTGCGGCAGTGAACAGACGGAGTAAAGGGCTCTCGACTCCTCTCTGGGGGTCTCTGTGGCCACTTGGACTCATACTGGCAGCCATCTTCAGTCGCCAGGCGCCGTCCAAAAGTCGAAAAGGTGCCAGACTGTTGTCGCCGGTGCCGAACTTTGCGTGGCAGTTTCGAGCTCCCATGAGAGCCAGGTGCCGTCGCCACGTGCCCCGGTACCCATGAGAGGGGCTTCGCAGTGTGTAGGCGGCGGCGACATGTGGTGGCTTTGATTCGGCCCAGACCGCCACCGTGCTCTCTTCGGGTTGTGGTCTTTGAGAGTCCGCAGGGCTGCTCAAAAAGATGGTTCCGGCGCGGAGTAGTCCTTGGTCTCGCTCCACGGGCTCCAGCTCGGCTTAAGCCAAAAGGTATCACGGGGGTCCCAAGAAGGGTTCCAGAGGACTGCGCTTGGCCCCCAAAAGCGGCCCAGGAGGTCCAAGAGATTTCCAGGAGAGGGGGGCCTTCTTTAATCCAGCTGCCTGCGGCAAGTCTCGCCACCGTGGCAGTCCACCAGGCTCGGTGGCGATTGTTCGAGAGGGTACCGGAAACATCTTGG